ATAACCTTAAACTTTCTGTTTTGCCATAATTGCCTCTGTAATATTCTTCCTGATTTTTTTTCTGTGCCAAAAAGACATGACTGGAATCAAAGTAGAACTGCTTGTTTATTTCATAGTGGTGACAATTTTCTATTTTTTTCCTAATGACTTTGACCTTCAGCTGTTACCAGATTTGGAAAAGAGGCTTGCAAAGCTTTTCTCTGTGAAGCTGATGTCTTCTAATCTATCCTAATGTCTACACTGTTTCCCCTCCAGTCATGTATAATGACATGTACAAATAATCTGCTTGGATCAATAATGTGTGTCACATTTGTTTTCCTCAAACAAAAGCAAAAGTAGAATTTCCACATTAAAACTCTTAAAAAGGCATCCAGGCTCTTTGAATATGAAAAGTTTCCCTGCTGGACACAAGATGTCTCCTACTTCACTGTAAAGTCCATTCTCAGTAGATGTGCACTGGTGGCTTCAAGTTTCTACATCACACTGTACAAGTTGCATACTGGACCAGGACTGACCTCCAAACTATTAATTATGTCACCAATCATGCTGGTGGGCCCCGCCCCTTAAAAATCAGCTTTTCAATGAGCACAGAGAAACTTTCCTCTTTCAGAAGATGAATGTGAAAACATCCTCCTAGTGTCAAACTCTGCACAGACATCATTCAAACAGCACACTGTAGGAACAAGAAGAACAGTGGATTTATGAGTGTAGAAGGGCTTTTAATGACTTTGCTGGCTGATTTTTAAGCATTTTAAATGAATACAAAGTTCACACAGATTACTTTTCCTCGCCCCATACTTACCCTTTCAATCAGTCTGCAGCACCAGTGAGGCCAACAGCTCAGCACCACACCACTCTGTTATATTCATTCCACAACTGAGAACCCTTTAAGATCTTGCATAAGCATTAGGATGTGGATATCTGCGCTCCACATGCCTCATCAATGAATTATGGCCCGCTGCTTTCCAAAAGATACCACGGATCTGCTTAGCCGATGAAAAATTACATCAACATCAAAGAAGTCCCCTTAAAAGAGCAAGTTTAGAAGAATTAATATTTGATAATGCTGAAACCCTGCATAAGCACACAGGCAATGAGTGCCTGATAATCTCTTAAGAATATTAAAAGCCCTAATATGCCATATTTACTGATATTAAGGATTAAAACAGCATATAATATGCATTTAAAAATCGTTTTGCATATCAAAATACAATTTGTGAGCAGTGTTTTAATGGTAGTTAATAACACTCATTTCAAAAGGCATGCTAGGAATGGACACAGCAGGCCTCCCTCTGCCACCTTGTGGTCATTCTATACTACTGCAAGGATGAATGGATACTTAAAATATTATTATATTATCATTATCTTAATATATACTCAACATGGTGCATGTTATACTTGCAGTTTTGAACTTATAATTGACCCATGTGAGGTATACTTGTATATTTGTCAAGTCTAAAAACTTTGAGTTCATCAAGGTTGTTCCAATTTATCAGTGATGGAATATAACCAAGTAACATACTTAAATACAATTTTTAGGTACTCGTACTTGAGTACTTCCATTTTATGCTATTTTATAATATAGACATACTCTTCAAGGGAAATACTGCACTTTTTACTCAAAAATGTTTTTTCCAGTTATAGCTACTTTGCAGATTAAGATTTTACACATATACAATTTATTCAGCACAAAAGCGAAATGTGGAGATAGGTCTGGCTAAGCGTGACCACACAACCTATGACCAGTTCTTAACATGTGACGCGTTATTAAAGATAAAAACTAAATGCAAATTTGTTGTCCCTCTTGACCAGCTAGAACATTAAATTGCTGCAATCATGTTAATGCTTAAGTCAATCATCAAATAAAACACTGACAGGGTCTATTCTGCTCAAAAGTGAGTACTTTTACGTTTGATACTCTCATTACATTTGGCTGACTTCTGTACTGTTTTTTACATTGTAATATTGCTATGTTTAGCACCAACTGGACTTTATTATATACTGACAGATACTGTTACTTGCTGTTAAGTTTTAGTATTTATGATTTCTCTGATTATATTAGGCGTTTGACCTGCAATAGCCGCCGCATCTTGTGTACTATAGTGGAGCACTGGGAAAAGACTCTGAAGTCTCTGACCACAGGTGACTTCAAATGCATTGGGATTGTCTGCTTTTAAAATAAAAATTTCTGTCATCTTTTAAGTCACTGATAAAACACGTTTTTCAGTCTGAAAGACCTTATGACATGTCACAGTAGGAAAAACACAGGTGTATGTATTAATAAAGGTCTAGAAAAAAGACCATCAGAGTGCTCAGCTGATGCAGACATGGGACTCACGTTTGCACTAAAGCTTAATTTATAATAGAAAAAATGAATTTAAAATAGCAAAGAGTGGTCAGACGCTGACCTTGAATTCAAAATGAGGTCTGAAACAGCCTTCATTAGTGAGCCGTTTCACCTGTGCAGCTGGAGAGAGACAGGCTAAGAATGCTGCATCTGAGTTAGTGAAGTCAGTAATTTCTCATACTGTATTGTGCCCTGTGATTCAAACTGGTTCTCTGCCTCTCTTTGTTAACTAGCTTCAGTATAATGATGTAGTTTTCTGTGATGTTCCAACACCATGGCTGGAGGCAGGAGTTTAGTCAGCAGCATGCAGGATCAAGAAAAAAAAAAGTGAGCCACTGAAATTGGAGAAAAATGGCTTGCAGTACCCCAAGGTAGGAAATAAATTGCAGATGATAACTAGTGAAGCGAGGCACAAACAGCATAATAAATTGTTTGAGATTTTTGCTCTCATTTTGCAGAGCAAAATCAAACTTTGGAGTGCACAGTTGGCAGGCCATTAAAAGAATTACTTCATGCTCTGAAAACAGAGGGCTTGTGTCAATGCCTATATCTCACACAAAAAGACAACGCACTCCTCGGTATTGCTTTGTGTTTTCTGCCATCTAGGTGGGTACGGTGATAAGCTGAGATCAGTGAGGCGAGCACAAATACAGTAAGTGACTTGGAAATGGCTTTGAAAGAAACATATCTCCGCTGAATGAGGAGCTAAACCTAGAGTTAATACACACTGGCATGGAGTAGATAAATATTTATGCACAAATATTTATGTCTTACAGTTTCTCAATATATCAATATTAATGATTAATGATCTGCATTCCGTGAATTTAATAATTTAGCAAAAATAAATAAGTCATATTTCGCCCACTCTATAAATATTCAGCAGATTCTGAGAAATTTGAGTTGTCTGCAGACTACTTCTTGTTGATAATAGCAGTCACTGGAGCAATGTACATTTAAAGATTTGTTAGTTGTTTGCTTAATCCAATCAATATTTCATATGTATATGAATATGAGAATTACCACTCCAATCACACCACACACAGACTGTGTTTTCCTCAGTGCACTGAACAAAGATGTACTAATGTCATACACAATAAACGATATGGTTTGGATTATCTGCTTTTACTCTAATAACAGGGTCTATAGTAGCATTTAGGTGAATTTAAAGTGGAAGATTATGGAAACATCACAGTTACAATATACTGCAGTCAGTTTAACCTTTGAGAAAATTAATCTTTTTTTTTTAATCACGATCCAGACATTCTTGATGTCTTTTATTAACATTACAGTGACAGAAGGTAAACATATTGTTTGTCATTGTTTGCGACAATCAGAAATGAAGTTCCCCATGCTTAAAGCTCGTGTTCCTGAAAAGTTCAATGGGAGTCATGATAAGTAAGGCAAAGAAAACAACACAAAAAGAAATGAGCATTGTAATAAATAACACCTGTTCGAAAACACATTGATGATTACGTGATTTTCCCCCGACTCATGAGGTTTGAAATGCCTGATGGTTTTCCTGCGGAATCATGGAAATAACACTCGGGCAAGAAAACCCATTAATAATGCATCTTCAGCATGCATTCTGCATCATTATTCTACAATTTAAATGAGGGTTAAAGCTCACTGCTTCACTTGTACAAGAGCAATTGAACATTAAATATACAACAGTGGCATATCTTCCCCTGTGAAGCTTTCATATCAACCATTTTGAAAATCACTCCATGGTCACAGAAGACACATTTAACCCTTTCTATCCTGTCCTGCTTGTAGTCCAAGTTCTTGTCACACTGTTGATGACACAGTTACATTTCTTATCTGTTTACAGCAGACCAACTTCAATAAATAATAGATAAATTGCAATATCATTATTATTTTTATGGTGGTTTACCCATATTACAGTGACAGTCCACTAATTGAGTGGTTCCCAACCTGGACCCCCACTAGGGGTCACCAAAGGTTCATGGGGAGTTGCAAGGCCTTCTTGGTTTAAGGCGTGTAAGAAAACTTAACAATTCATACACAGTAGGCTCATCTTCCTACAGTAAAAAACTGTGCAGTTCAAACAACCAAAGAGCTAACTGAACAAGCGGCAGGGGGAAGAAAACACTGAATCTGTCAAAAAGGTAAAAATATTAAGAATAAATGATGATAAAATAAATACATAATACAGACAGGATTTAAAAAAAGGTAAAGAAATCTCCACCAATCATCAATCTTCACAGGAAATAATCTGCTCAGAATTCCTCCAAATCACCAATTTTACACAAACTTCCTGCAGTTATTGTGTTCACTATTTACAGTTTATCAGTTGTTCTGTACTGTTATTGTTATGCATTGGATATAATATGAGATATACATAAAATATATCATTTAGAAGGAAAACGGTTGGGAACCAGTGCACTAATTACTCTGTATGAAGTAATGTATGTAGCATGCAGCTCAAGGTCAGGTACCTCATTCACAAACTTATAAAAACGTTGTGCTGTCACGTTCAGTTATCTTCCAAATTCAAATGTTGTGAGCATTTGTCAGCAGTGTTGTCGGTAAGTTAAGGCGAGCTGGTCCAAATGGACTGGAACTAGAGTGGACATAAGGGGTCGGTGTGCAGTCGGGGTGACGCTCATTTCTCTACCTCCGCCGTGAACATCCCTCTCATCCCTCTCCTCTGGACCAGGGAGCAAACCTGCGTGATTTTTAAGCAAAATGGCGACAGTCTAAGAGAGAGGGAAAGACGAGTAACGGTGTCAGGTGCAATGACAAACTTGAGGACACGAGTCGACCGTCCTGAGGTAAGCCTGCCGTGCAGTTTGATGTGCGCAGTGATACATTGTAGCCAGGTATGCTCGTTAGTCAGCGGTGTGTCGCTGTGAAGGTATGAAAACACTGCAGTGACTGACAACTGTACAAGGTGTAGCTATTCTTACTTAAAGTGGTTCGCTATTGCAACGCGAAGTCTTTGTACAACACATTACTGGTACAGCTTTATCTTTGTGGGTCAGTGTGTGGGCAGAGGAGCTAGCTTACTGTCGCATAGCCTGTCAAAATAAAGTCAGAGCTGCTCGAGGTGGCTCTGTGCGTTTAGCTAAATTGTTTCAGTCTCTACTGAAGGACATTCAGTTTATGGCAACTAGAGAAAGAGCTGTTCATTTGGAACTCGAAAGACGAGATAAAGTTTATTGTTACATTGATCGTTTTACATATATATGCAAAACGTTTGACGCAGAGCTACATGATTGCAGAGTAAACTTGGTTTCTCAAGTTTCTAATTCTGGCTTCCCTCTCTGACTTTAAATTGCCTATTAGGAAGAGTGATTGTGAGAGTGAGGCAAGCAAGACCCATATTCTATGGAAGTTGGTAAATGCCAAAAGTATTTCCATTTGCTAAAGGCCTGTCAGATATGGTAAAAAAAAAAGATTGTGATTTGTAAGAGATATTACAATTGTGATTCGTGGGAATGATCATTATATATTAATAAAATCCTGATTGTGATAGTAGTACCAGCTAGTACGACTGCTAAACTGAATAGTAGAATCACAGAGTTTTTTGCCTTTTTGAAGAAAATGGTTTCACACTGAGATTTGGTTAGTGCCATTGGCAGTATAGATAATGGACAGAGCTTCCTGTTTTGTGACGTGAAGCCAACATGGAAATGTCTTCTATGTAATGGCCAGCTCCATTGGCTGCAATAAAAGACTGATAGCATGCAGTCTTATGGAGAAATGACCTACTTCTTACTTAATTCATTAGATCAACAAACAGTTTCCTAATGAGTAAATTATTAGTGATTATTAATGAGTAAATTAATTAATGAGTAAATTATTACTTATCATTATTCTTTGAAACTGTGCAGACAATGAGAGCAGCTCAACTCACAGTAAGTCACCTTCCCCCCCCAGTCAAAATAATGGATTTTTATGGGCGGCACAACCCCTTCAAAATGGTTTGGTCCAATAACATTTGAAAATTTTAGAAAAGCCACACAATTAAATCATTCTACCCCCCTTCAAGTTAGCAGAGGGCTAAACTGGAAGTTAGCCCACTTGGTTGGTATAAGTCTCTGGTGGGCATGCATTCATCTTGGTCATTTCTTTACAGCAAGAAGTTTTTGTTTTACTTCATGCACCACTGAGCAACTTTCATATACGTGTATTATGTAGCTTGGTAAAATTGCATTCTTTAGATTTGATTATTTTCCGGTGGTAAGTTTAAGGACATTTAACAAAACCTAAAGCAAACAATGCAGGGATCGAATGAATTGAACCAAATGATTCTTGGAATAGTTAGATGGCACACTTCCTGGATGATGCAAGTATTTTAGCTGTATTTGTGTGCTGGCTCAGCAGTTTTGTCATTGAAAACTTCCATAATATTGGATTTGGGGGAGTTTACATTGCAGTTGTTATAAGCTCAGGAATGGGGGTTTTGTAAAATCAAAGTGTAGACCTACATAAGAGAGTCCATCACTCCCTGCAGGTGTCTAAGGACGAGCTTTCAGGGCTATAGGAAGAAGTCAGAGTCAGCTTAACAGCCTAGTGTCGGTTTTACTGCATTAGTATACAACAGAGAGTAAAGGAGTCAACTGCTCGACTAAATAAATCAGATGGTCGAGGCATGTTATCCACAAATTGATTATATGTCACTTGACAAGGTCAAATATTTTAACCAAGATGCCTGAAGTCCCTGAATGCTCAGCATAGCAAACAGTTATGTGTTCTCTGTTGGCCTGGCTGGCTGCTTACACAGCTATAAATGAAGACACCTGGGACTACTTAAATGGGAGTACACTGGCCTGAATTAGCAACTCAGCTGAGGAACAGCTGCAGAGATGAGATATTTTAGTAATCAGGTGGATCTACCAAGAACATTGAGGTCTGCAGGAATATATCAGAGGCGAGGAAATAAGGGCGGCATGTTTTCATAGAATCACATTGATTGAATCCCTCTCAGACTCATTAAACCATCTGCATGAAATTGATAACTATCACACTTGTATCTGTTGGTGAGCTGCAACCAAAGATTATTTTCATTATCCCGTTAAAATGTCAGAAAATTGTGAAGAATGTCTGTATGTTCCCATAGGCCAAGATTATGTTAGTTAATGCTCGTTTCGTCCAAATGCCAGTGTAATATTACTTAAGACAGAGATAAGCAGCAAACCCACCAGAGAAAATTTGTCCTTTTTGCTTAAAATATTATGTTAAGTTATCAAAAAGATTATTTTATTGGTTGCTCAAGTAATTCATTGACAGAACTTTTCAGCTCTAGTCTCCACATTGTTTATGGCACTACTTTGGCACATTTTCTGTTTTTGAGGTTCATGTTGAAGTTCAAGCAGGAAACATTATGGGCTGTGCCTAATCACTTCTGTGATGATGCTCACTTGCTATTTAGGCTAATAAATGATACTCCTGCTGTAAAGTACAGTACACACCGTGGCAACAAGGGCAGACTGAAAATTATGATTATGTTTTCAGTAGTGATATGGTGACATTCAGCAGTCCAAATTCAAAGATATTAAATAAAGAATGCTATAAAACAGAGAAAGCGAAGTGCAGCAAAAACATACTGACATTGATTTTTCACCTTAATACTTAATGTTTCCTAATTTTATGAGAATTGCTTATAAATATAATTTCTAATTTATAACGTGTTTCACATATCCACTGCAGAAAATATTGTATTATGTGTGTTTACTTTACTTGTGAGACTCCAGCGGTAAAACATGGTTAAATGCAATGGATTTTGATTTGCTCATTATCTGTTACTGGTGTTGATAACTCTTTTTATGCAGCTCTGCCCTCCCAGATCCAGAGTAACTCTATTAATATTTTCTAGCAGCAACCGGGACCTCTTTGTGGTCTAATTAACCCCAGATATAGGTAGCTATGTTACTATGTAAGATGTCTGCTCTGGTAAACAAAAGTATTTGTAATGAAACATTTGCTGTATAATAATATTTGTAATATGATAATATTTGAAAACAGTTGGTTGATATCTTAATTATTATTATTATTATTATTATTATTATTATTACACATACATCAGTGGGGTCTCAGGGTCCCCAAACACTGAGGAAGTAAAGCCAATGTCAAAAAAAGGTTAATTTCCAGTCAATGCTAAAATCATATTTCCTTCTGTCCTTGTGTGGATGTATGTCCTCAGCTTTCAGTTATGGGTCCTGAAACAGAGTCTGGATTTGATTCCCTGCGGCAGGGTGTGTCACATGTAATCACAAAATCTTACTGAAACCTGAAATGTTTTTAAAGAAAACCACAATGATCTGTGTAGAGAGCAGCTTTCAGCTTTATTAAAGTTAAAGGACACTTCCTGGCTGTTTGTCTCTATTACAGGTGTGCTTTCAAAGAGCCATGTGGTGGAATCAGTGCTTCAACATAGACTGGTAAGTACACATTGACTGGTTCTTTTTATTTCCGTTTTGTCTTGTTAAACATTCTGTGTGATTATTGAGATCCACTTTCTGAAAATTGACAAACAGAGGTGGTAGAAGTTGAATATTGTCTCTCATTAGAAGTTATAATATCAGCTCATGAGTCAGACAAGTACAACAACAAGGTGACCTGCCGTGAAGCGACACACAATCCTAATTTGTTTCAAATAGCCACTGAACTGTAAAGCTGAGCTCGAAACGAGTGTTTATTGCGTTTTAATTGAAAAGCAAGAAAATGTGTTTGTCTGATGTTCTTGTTAGTATTATCATTATTATAATCTCAATGGCAGAGCATAAACCTAAAATGTGACCGTCTCTGAAGAGGTGTTATCATTCAGAGGCACAGTTGTATGTCTCCTTACCGGCTTAACACCTGAAACTGTAGCTCAGATGTGTGAAATGCTCTGAAACTATAGCTGGGTGTGATTACCAGTCAAATTAAATCTGAGATGTCAGTTACATGTGTCAGTGCTTCCACTCCTACGCTTGGCAGGTTGTAGGGAGTGACAAGCTGGCTGTTGATTATTTTTTTCAGTGTGAAACAGAATCACTGACACACAACTAGTGTTTACAATCCTCCAGTCTTTGTTTAATTTTCTTTTAAATGTAAGTCGATATTGTGAATTCTGATGTTTAAATTATCGCCACTTTGAAATTGTACCATCATCAATCATTAATCCATCACTAATTTGCTCAGAGGTCTTATGATAGACATTTCTTCAATTCTACAAAATACCTACTAAATAGTAGTTGCCTAGTTCCGCCTTATTGTCTCGAGCTTTCATTGATAGTTCCTTGCTGGTCATCTTAAAAACCAAACCTGGCGAAACACAGACTTTGCATGCACAAGAAGTCTTAATTTTCCACTCAAAAGATTTTTTTTTTTTTCAGGCTTTTATGATGTTGGCCCTTTAAATGAGAGCAGATTGTTACAGATTCTGTCCGACTCTCTGCACTGCCCTACATACGTTTGAGTAATAAAAAAAAAAAAAAATCAAAAATGTCCTAAATTCCAGCCTCTCAGATTTGATGTATTTATTTGTTTTGTGTGACAGTAAACTGAATATGTTTGGGTTTTAGACAGTTTGAAGATTGATTTGAAGATGTCATCATGTGCTCTAAGAATTTGTGATGGACACTTTACAGACCAACCAATTCATTTAATCATCAATAAAGTAACTGTCAGATTAATTAATAATGAAAATAATCAATTGTAGCCCTAACTTCTTATACAGTGCAGAATAATATCAATACTGTTACTCCCTCTGAAACTGGATACAGACAGCTAGACTTTATCCAGTTTCTGCTACAAATACATTACATTTTAAATAAACCAAATACATTAAGTACCATGTATTTAGTATAAGATGTATGGCATGCAGTGTAAGAGAGTATTGAAATGGCTTGATAACCTTAATGCGCTGGTTCTCAAACTATGGTACGTGTACCACTGGTGGAACTCCCTCTAGTGGTACGTAGGGGAATCTCTGAAATATTTTTTTAAAAACGAAATTAATTTAAAAAGATAATTCTATCAAAATACTAGAAAAATAAGTTTTGCATTCCCTGTAATATTTAGTTTCAGTATCAGCCAGCTATGTAGTTACAATCCTGAGTGGTTCAGAAACACTGCAATCATGACTCCAACTGGGAACTATTGGGAATAGCAGAAGTACCCTGTTTCCACCAGATGAACTCTGGTTCTTGAACTGGTTTCGTTCAGGAACAGTCAACAAGGAAAAATCTTATTAGGAATAAAGCTGCCTCCTATGTGAACCGTCTGTAGTTGAATAGGGTTAGCCTATGCTACTGTGTTTTAACGTTGGTCATGTTGGCGGTACGCGGTGTAAAAAGATTAACACTACAACGTTACTCCACCGCTTTATACATTTGGGATGTTATTTGCTCCATCTCATAAAGTCCCCATATGAATCCATAAGTTGTAAGAGAGAGGATCAGGTTTTAAGCACCTAATGGCAATACACTTAATGGCCGCCACTAGTAGGATTTGTAACAAGACATTTTATTAGTTTCACACGTGCATGTGCAACTGCATCTAATTTCAGTGTTCATACTGTAATTTCAGCTCTCATACTTCATTTGTCTTTTTCCTGCTTACATTTCAGCTCATATTAGTGAACATTCACTGCTGCTGCTGTAGCAAACAGGGATATGAGAAAGCTTTTGCTTCCTTAATTTGTGACAGCAGCTCTACTGAGAGGGATTTGCAAAAGCATATTTTGGATGAATTTAGAGGGATGGGCGTTCATTCTCTGGTTCTGATTCTCTAACATATGATGCAGCCTGATTATATGAAAACCTTCAACGAAGCAGCTTTTCAAACCAGTTTATGTCATGACAGCATCATAACCTGGATTTCCATTCTTTTTAGTTGGATGTTTTTCATGTTCACAAACCTAATATTATCTGCGAATTGCGTGGCACTCCACTCCCCAATAGCCATGGAAGTGACTTCTTCTCTGAGAAGAATTTATTTTAAAGGAGAGACAGATTGGAGCTAGGTAAATCTAAGGGACTGGCAGGTGAGATTGCTTTGCTCCATCAAAGGCTAAATGAAGCACTAAGTCATGAACTGCAGATGTCCACAATCCAGCCTGCTGCTCAGCCTCTGCAGATCAAGCCTCCCATTATCCTGTTTCACCTAGGTTATGGACCATTTCCTCCACTAAGGGGCAGAATATGATCACTGATACACTCAGTTCTCGCTCAAAAGGATGGTACATTGAAAAGCAACATCAGCTAATGTGGACTGTATAATCACATTAGACTGAATAGATGATAATAAAAGAAATAATGGATAGACACAAAGAATAGCTTATTATTTAAACACTATCATATACAGTGTTGTCATTATATGAAATCTCAATGTAATTAATGTACCATGGCAAAAAAAAAAAAACATAATTACATGGAGTTATGACTAAAGATTAATAATGTAGTATAAGTCATTTAGTGCATAGTCTGAGGAATAATCTAGTGCACTTTATTTAATTGAATTTGAGTTAATTGTGGTTTTATTCATTTTGCAGTTATTCAATCCAACTGCCAGGCTACCTATAATACTTGGTGTTTAGCTATATTTTAGGTCTGATCCAGATGTATCCAAGTCTGCAAGAATGTCAAATCAGTATGGTCTCCTATTTATCCCTCAGAACATTTCACAAGTCCAAACAACCTCTGTCTTTCAGGGTTTCGGATTAGAAAGCTTCCATTGTACATGAGCTGTGAGGCGGCTAACCCTTTCTATGATACCTATCTAAGGTTGAGCTCAGCACTTTCCTCATTAATTTCCCACTTATTCTCAGAGTTGGATGTGATATTTTAGAGATTTGAGCATGCGGGGCACAGGTTAGGCGCAATTATGCTGACGGAGGGCTTTTACAGCCATGCTCAATGAAATCTGGAGTATAGGATTATACATGTAGAAAGTTATATAGTGATTAACCTTCATTTCAGTCCCCTCGGTGATCTCTAGGAGGCAAATCCTCCTCCAATCAGCTGCTGTCATATATATTTCTCCACCCTGATAAATGACCTTCAAAATGATAGATCGAGGCATTCCTTCTCCTTCTTATGCTTTTGAAGCATTTGTTTGCCCTTTCAGGCAGTTCAAATACATCCTTAAACTATATACCACTTTGATTTCTTTAAGCTGTATTCAGGATTCAGAGGTAATTTAAAGATTTTGACAACTGGTGGCGCTATTTGATGAGTGGGCCCTAGTTTTGTGTGTGTCCTGCACACTGAATGTAAACTTTCTTCACAAGGAAACTCCACAGGGCACCTTTAAAGTATCATGGTGCTATGTTGCATTACCTTAAAAGGAAAGTGTCAGTCACCAGCTAACATGGCAAGGTCACTAAAGTAAAATGTCACAGTAAGTGATTCAGGAAGTTTGATCTTGTGCCATTTTTTTGCCCGTATTTTCAGCAAGTTTCCATGGCTGCAGGTGCCATCTGTTGGTGATATCTGGTATTGGAGAGGATTCGATACACTGTTTATATTACAGCATTGCTTTACCAAATAAGAGAGAAACAAAAAAGAGAAATAAACATATGTATGTAATGTATTCATCAGCTTGTAGTTTAAGGGGAAAATCAATTCCTACAATTCCCCAAAATTCAAATGTATTTATTATTAGCTTGCAGTGCTGTGTGCATGTAGTTGGGACTCTGTCTATACAAGCTCCATATAGGATCTATATAGGGTCAGATGTTACATACAAGTTAACCAGAAATGCATTTAGGCACTGCAAAAAATGAGTAATTTTGTTAATTAATAGAGAAAAAAGACAAAAAACAAATAGCAAATTAAAAATTTATTTTAACCAGTTTCCTAAATAAATTCACTTCTTTCATGAATAAACTAAACTAGACTATAAACATGTCAGTAATTTGACACAGGACACAATAAAGCTCTACACCAGAATCAAGAAAATGATGATTTTTATATCTGGAATAGGTAAAATAATCTTATCCCCATTAACTGCTTTCTGTGTGGGTTTATTGTATTTGCTGAGGTTATCGGCGTGGTCATCAGTGCAATGGAATACTGTCTTCAGTTTCAGTGAACTTCTTTTCTAACAAGAATAATCCTGTTAATCTGCTAATGATATCAAAAGAAATAATAAAATCTCAAATGTCGCAGTTGTTAAGCACCATTTAATTAATTACATGTGTTGACGCCACCATTTTCTAGTTATTATGCAAAGATATTTAACACTATTATGATTTAAATTTATATTATTTCATGCTGTGACATTATAATTGTCAGTAATCCTTTTTCCTCAAATGCAGCATGATTGATAAAGCTTATTCTATATCTAGGGCTATCTTGTATTTTTTGTGCGTTCGTGCATCGACGCTGCAGAAAGCAGGCTCTCACAACAATGGCAGCTCCCTCCCTCACCCCTCGGAGAAAGGACATTTTTG